ACCATTTCCATAAAGGACTCATGCTCAACCCACACATTAAAGAATTTAAAGCCCACTCTGATATGGTGATAACTCTTCTGAAGTAGCAAGTGCATAGGGCTATGATTAGACACTCCTGGAATCCCATATTCTAGAACAGCATGCCCCCATTTATCCATCCAACAATCATTCCCAAAGGCTCTATCTATTCTACTAGCAATTCTGGCAGCACCAACCTGTTTATTTGTCCAAGTATAGTAGTTACCTTTCCAATGTATTTCAGTAACTCCCATATCTTTAACACATTCTTCAAAATCCTTTATCTCATTCAAAGTAACAAGAACTCTATCTAATCTATCTTTGGGAGATAAAATAGCATTAAAGTCACCTATTATGATCCAAGGTTCTGAAACACTATGAGTTAACATTTTCAGTTCATTCCATAAGCTTCTCCTCATTTCTGAAGTATTGTACCTATAGATCACTGTGATATTAAACTGATAACCTTTGCTTCTTTCATTAACCTGACAATGGACCATTTGAGCAGTACTTTTTAATAACTTTATCTCATACCAACTATCATCCCATACTATCCATATTCTCCCATTTGCAGCCTCCTTATAGTTGTGTATGATCTTCCATCCTGGAGCAATTGCTTTTTAGAATAGTATTGCTATTTGTCACTTTAACTCTTGTTTCAATTAACCCTGCTAAAGAGGTCTTATTCTGTTTTAGAAGCAGTCTAATCTCCTTCTGCTTATACCTTTTATTCATCCCTCTCACATTCCACACACTCCACTTCATTAACAAGTCTTTGGATCTCCACCTCTATCAACAGGAAGTGAAGCAAGTTCACTCTGCCTTAAGCTCTCAAATCCATTTCTAATTGGTATAGCTGATAGTATAGGAAAATTTGCTAGGATGAACTCCAGTTGTTTACTTCCAGTCTGAGGCCTCAGATTGAGCTCAGGTGTTTGTTTAAAATCCTGCACCTCTTCTTTCTCTAGCTCTTGAATCTCCTTCTCTACATTATTCCCTTCTTCCCCAGGCTTCTCCATGACTTCATCTGTCTTCTCCTGCTCTTGTATTGGCCCTTTGTACTGCCATGTCTGTGTGACTTTCTTCCAAGGCTTTTTCTTCTTTGGCATCTCCTCCTGTGTTACTGATTTGCAATGATATCCAATCTTCTGGCATTTGTCACAATACTGTGGTTTCCATTCCATCACAACTTCCTGTACAAATGTTCTTCCATTAGGATCTGCTACTGTGATCTGCTGAGGAATGGTTTTAGTAACATCAACTTCTATCAGCATTCTAGCATAGATATCCTTCTTTGCTTTGTAGTACATTCATCAGCAAATAAAGGTACCCCTATAGCACTTGCTATTCTACTCAATGATCAAACTCCCCAACAATTAAGTGGTAACCTTGGAAAATTAACCCATAATAGTATTTCAGCTAAGAATTCCTTCCCAAAATTAAAATCTGAGCACCATTGTTTCATAACAATAGGCCTATTGTTTATAGTGTATGGCCCTGAGAATAGTATCTCATTCATATCATCCAGGCTCTGAAACTTAACAATGAAGTATCCTTCCTCATGTAGAAACAATGTTGGTTTCCCTGCTTTGGACCAATTCATCATTATGTACCTGTTTATGGCATTATATCCAGGACACTCACCCACTACATAGGCTATGAGTGCACACTTCCACTTAGCCTCCTCATCCTGAACTTCTTTTCCTTCCAACTTGAAATACCGTGGTTTCACGGTATAATTAATACTTTTTCCTTAAGTTTAGTGTGTTCGAAAGCTTTTTTGTGCTAATTTTGATATAAGTTTCTCTTTGTTTTGCAGGAAATCTGTCCAAAGCTGAATGCAGAGATTCTGAGCGAAAAAAATGCAGAAGAGACCACCTACGGAGCTTATGACGGTCCGTCGTGCCTGTGACGGTCCATATGTGGCAGCGTAGTGCAGCTGCTGAAGGAAGATGGGAAAGTCTGACCAAGTGTGGGATTACGAAGCTTGTGACGGTCCTTCATGGCTATGACAGTCCGTCCTGCAGGTTCATCGTGAAGATCAGAGAAGTGATCCCAGTACCCAGATTCCAAGAGTTGAAGTATTTTGAAATGAAGACCCTCGACGGACCGTTGTGCCTATGACGGTCCGTCACACTTGCCGTCGAGGGGAATGAAGAAAGAAGCAGAAGAAATTGCACCAAGTATGGGACGACAGAGTCCACGACGGTCCGTTGTGACCACCACGGTCCGTCGCGTGGTCCGTCGACCCAGCCGCGTTTTGGCAGATTTCCAGTAATTAGAATCCTTGTTTAATTAGGTTTTTATTTTTTATAAATAGCTCGAAAAACCTCGTTTTTGAGGTTAGACTCTGCTAGATTAGGCATCATATTATTAGACTTTGTGTATTAGTGTTTAATTTTTGGAGATTCTTACAAGTGATTTTTGGTGATTAATCAAGCAAATTTTTGGACTTTATTCTTTCTCATTGAAGTAAGTACAT